TTATCTGAAGTGGAAATAAGATGTGTACTGGGCATTGTAAAAATGCAACAATCATGCTTAGACACAGGAAGCAGCAGAAATAAAGAATGGAAGATCTGAATAGTAAAAAAAGCAGTGTAAATTCTGACAAATGGCATCATATAACATGGGTTAAATGAGAATTAAAAAACAAAAACAAAACAGCAAAAACCAATCAAACTTGAGGGAGTCAGTAGATAAACAAGTAGTAAAGGAGAAGATAAGGTTACTGCAGTAAAGCAGTGCATCCCTTAGGCTTATGTGCTACAGAACAGGGATGTTCCTGGTAAAACATTCCTTACAGGAGCTGATCTGAGGAAATCTCATGTTTTGGAAGAATGTCTCAGAGAAAATATCACTGCTGACAAGAAAGGGTTTTCGCACAAATCAGTGCAGGAAATAGTAACAAGTTAGTAGGAGCAGATGATGCTGGCCCAGGAGTTCAGGGCCAACTTACATATGAAACTGCTCAACTGCTGAGTGAGCTCAGTAAGCTCTGCTTAAATCACCACAGGGCCAGAGCTACAGGAAAGTGCAATCAAACTTTGAAAAGCATCCAGGATGAGCAATTGCATTCATTCCATACTGTGTCTTTGGCCTAGTCTTGGTCTCTCTCCTGGACCTTGGATCTATGCTGTGTCCTTGTCTTTAGTCTTGTCTCTGCCTTTGGCTTCTGGGTGCAATTCACATCAAACAGTCTGTGCTCCCCTCAGGAGCCCCCCTTACAGAGTTTCAGATTTCAGGCTGTCCCCTTCTGGCCCATTTGTCTTGGTTCTCTTTCAAGGCAAATCAGGAAAGAGGCAATGACCTCTGCTGTGTAGTTAAAGTGGAGCTAGAACAGAGTAGGAGGATTATTTGGCGTCCACTCATCAATAAAACAAATCTTGAGATCTGAGAATCTTAGAGAAAATGGTGCAGCTACATGGCCCATTTTGCTAATGGGCCATCAAAGCTCCTGAGAAACACATTGTGGCATTTGTATGTATAATCTGTGTGTCTGGAGGAGGTGTGTACTGCAGCCACAAGCTGCAGAAGCAAAACCAAAGTTTTGAGATGGTTCAGGCTAAAACTGATGCATCACTTCTCAGCACAGCTTACAGGACAGACACTTCATGCCTGTAGGCATTTTCTGCAGGAAGCAGTTAGTGATCCCTGCTGAGAGAGGGATCAAAGGTGCAAACAGGCTGGGAGTGGTGATGGGGCATTCCTAACTCTTTCTGGAAATGTGTCCCACTTGTACAAATGGCAAACCACTAGAGAGCAGCATTGAATCAGGACTTCTGCTGTGTGTCTGAACATAAAACAATGCTTTAGTGCAATGTTTGCAGTTGGACACTGGTTTCAGACCAGATTTTACCAGAACCAGGGAAGCTATAGACCAGCCAATTTCATCTGGCTTAGTCCTTGGGTACCGAATACTCAAACAATGAAAACAGCCTCTGTAGTCTCCAGGAACTCAACTTTCCCCATGCATCAAATTCAAAAGCTATAGTAAAGTTCTCTTCAGCCTACAGCTACTCCAAATCAGAGAAAACTGACTGTGCTGGAAATGCTTCAGCTGATTCCTGTCTCTAGGCATCATCTGGGGCTGAGGCTCATTGACCCCTGGAGTTATCTCCAGTGCAAAGTCTTTGGACTTGTGCCTCTCCTTTCTAACATGATTGTATCATTCTGACACTGGAAAGGTAACGGGTAAGTGGTGGTAAAATAGCAGAGATTGCACTGCTGCAGGAGGAACAGAATCTGCCCACATGGTGGTTTTAAACTGATTTCAACATAGCTCAGTATTGACACTGGTGATTTTTTTCTTTTAAATATTTCTTTTAAATGAAAACATACCCAAAATGTGGAAATACATCGATATATGCACTGGAATAAAATGCTGTAACATACACCTCAATTGACTGATTATAATAAAACTAGCATTCAAAGGTTTTTGTATCAAGTGTATGCTTTGCTCAAAACCTTTGCTATGAAAGGTTGGCTTTTACTGCCTGGTAACTGGGACAAAGTAAGGACCAGAGATCAGATTTAAATCTTATTTTTGTGATTTTGACATTTTCTGCAAAAGCCAAAACACTTTTGCACTTGATCAAGGTCAATGATTTAATTATTCTAAACTGATTAACTGACTCACAACTCAAAAGCAGGAAAGCTCATTTTCTTCTCTCAATCAGTTAATGAGGCATGAATTGCATGCTTTCACTAATCCTAGCATCCTGAAAGACAAAATATCTATAAAAATTTAACCCTCAAATATGATAATTTTAATCACAAAGGATTTTTTGTGTATGTTTTTATTGTTTAACTCTTTTCAGCCTGTTATAGTGTAGTATAATAGCTTCATTTAATGGCTACAAAGTTATTTTAAAATGCTCTTCTGCAGAACCTGACTTCTCCCTAAATGCAGGCTTGCTTAAAACAGCCTTTAAAAGAATTGTCGTGTACTAAGTGCAATGCTTTCTATAACTGTTACCTTAAAAATTTGGATTTTTAATGTAGTAAGGACAGTTGGCCTCTTTAAACATGTAGAGATATCTGTGATTCCTCCTCAAAGGCAATAAACTTCTTAAGGTGAACACACTGGTGAGTTATGCCAACTGTTTGTTCACTAGAAATTGCCTGCATAACCTTTGAGTGAATATCTGAGTAACTGAGCTTTAATGTGATATTCCACTGGCTGCTTAGACAATCACATGGCCATTCACCCTCCTGAATTTTGCTTCCCTTCACAGGAAGGGAACCCTTCATAGGTTCATTCACTCTAATGCTTTAGCCAGGGAAAATGCCTCTGTACTTTCTCATTATGGAAAAAAAATAGGACATACTATACTTAATGCTTGTTACTGAAACAGAACTAGGGAAAAACCTTCTACTTAAACACCTTCAGGTGTTTTTTTTTATTTCTGACTTTGTCATTTAATGTTTTGCCAAGAGCAATTTGGATCACATGGTGAAAGAAGTGCCCATTCTCTGTCATGGAATAAAGGTGAAACTAAGTAAGCAGCCCCAGAAATGTGATAAACATAATATTAAAACTTCTAACAAATAGCAGTGATAAAATATGTGGCAGCTCAAGGACAGTGTGGCTAAGAATGAGAACTGTCAAATGCAATGTAAGAAAAGGCATATGGGAAAAGTAAAGCAAGCTGTATAGTCAAATTATTTGGAGAGATAATGAAACCAAGACCTGAAGAGTATTCTGGTAGAATATCAAAGCAGATAATGTAGACAAGCAGCATCAAAAAGGAAATTTGCATCTATGAGACCAGTCCTGATAATGTGTTATCAGGTGATACAACTTTGGTCTATAAATTAGCCTTGAAAAACACCCAGTTGTTTCTGGCAGTCAGGAAAACTAATTAAACCATGGGATAAATCTCTTGATTTGAGGGCTTGCTTTTTTTTTTCCCCATGGAATGAATATGCAAAACTCTATGGCAGAACTTCAAAGGGCCCTCCCATCCCTGCTTACTGCACACCTGGAGTGACCCAGCTGCAGGCTCTCCACAGTGATCTGGTCTTGTTCTCTTGCTTTTATTGCCTAATAACTTCTTCTCTCTCCTCTGTCATTTTGTGATGTGTAGCAGCAGAAATACACTCCTGTGACTCCTTCTGCCTCTCTTTTGAGCCTGATCTTGAATAGACACAGAGGTTGCTTGGAACTATACTGGAGAACCTCAGGTTAATGATTTTAAAAAACTAATGAGGTGAGGACTTCTATACTTCATCCTCTGATCAGCCAAAGAAAAAAGGGCCCTTTTTATCTGCACCTCATTATTTTTCTACATGGAAATGATAAATGCAGATAAATTGTGGAAGTCACAGAAATGTGGACTGTTTTAGAAAGTTGTGGAGCAAACTATTAGTAGGGTAAAATTAAAATATTAGTAGCAAAGCTTTACATAATATCAGCTAAAAATTTCCTAGCAAAGTACTCCTTAAAAACAATAGATCAGCCCATATATCTCTCTGGAAAGGCACTTGCCATGCCATCTTGATTTACTGTGAAACACATAGGTTCCTCAAAATATTGTCTTTGCAGAAAATGTCAAAGGTTTTCTTGCTTGCTTCTTAAAGATCTGATACAGTAAATCTTCACAATTTTCTACAGCTCCTCAGTATTTGTGGAGGGACTGAAGCTGGGAGAAGAAAACAGGATCTGCCTGCCTATACTGATGCTCATGTGGCTTTAGCATGAATATTCTAATTCTTTGCCTTACTCTTACAGTGTGAGTTTTCTAGGATTGAGCCTGCTTTTCTAGTCTTCTTTCTGTTAATGGACATCAAAGGAAGGAGGGCTTCCCAGAAGCTGGGAAGCCAAAACTCCATGACCTGGTGGTTTTAGGCATTTGTAGACTCCAGAAAGACACTCAGTTTCTGTCAACAATGATTATATTGCAAGATACCACGTTGAAAAAACAATTTCTGTCAACAATCAGATTAATCTCTGACTCCAACAGATTTTCAGTGCTCCTGGCCAGAAATGCTGGGCTGGGAGCTGTGCACAGAGGGGACAGGCAGATCAATGGGCTCTGCAGAGCAGGGTGTCTCCTGGCAGCAAGCTAAGGAGTTACTTTTACAGGTAGCCAGTGTGGATGGATCAAAGAGTTCCTTGAGATGGAGTCTGGCTGTAAACAGACTGCAGCCGGATATCCTGTCCCTTGGTCAGCAGTGAGGGGACCTGCAGCAGCTCATGGCTTCTTCTTAGAATTAAAGATGAGTCACTTAAAGGTTACTGAATTTTCTTTCCTATTGCTCCACTTCCTCTGTTTTCTAAAGATAAATAAGAAATGAGAGCCTGGAAATTCTCTTGAGAGGTCCTGCAGCTTGTTTGTTTTGTAAAATACTTCTTGTTATCTAATTTTGTTACGCTTGTTAACAACAGCAGCAGCTTTCCCATAAAACTTGCCCCAAGTAAACTGACCACAATTTAGAGAACTGAGCTGCAGAGTAGAGAAGTTCATCCTGGAAATTTGAAGATGAAGTACTTTCTTCTGCCAACTCATTTAGCATTTCTCTGTAGCTTTGCACTAAGTAAACCCGTCCAGGTGTGTCCCTGCTCTGAGATGTTGAGAATTTACATTGCTGCTGCTGAGTTGCTCTATCTTAAAATTAATTAGAAACTCTTACTGCTGTGAATCTACTTGGTACAAGTTTTCTGCTATGGAGATGAGCATGTACTAAAATATATGTACAATATTTTTTTCCAGATAACTACAAGAAAGAATGGCTTAGGTGAGTTTGATTATAATTATTAATAAATTACTACAAGTTTTGGTGGAGCTACATCTGTATACTTCAATATCATGACTTGGTATATTTTTCTCTTTGAAAATGTTTTGGGGTTTTTTTTCCCACCATCAGTGGAAGGCAATTCACAGAACTCAAATGTGTTTTAACGTTACATTCATTGTGATTTTTTATGCTGTTGTGATGAAGAAATTGTGAAGAATTATTGAACAATTGCTACATGAAATGTTCTTTTCTGTATGTAGCTCTAGCAAATCAGAGTATTTTTCAGTTTGTTTTCTATCTTCTGTGATATATGGTACTTTCCTGTCTGCTATACCCAAAACTTCTGTAATTTTTTTGCTTAATAACAGATAGCTTTTGTCTGTGAGAAATGTATTCCCAGTATTTTAGAGTCAGAACTGAGGAGCACATCACAATGTCTTATGTCAAATCCATAGTTAACCTGGACATTAATAACTTGCATACATTCAATATGCATGATAAAAACAGTAATTCATTTAATAGTAATGTATTATTAATCCTATTTTTGCAGACGTCAGTTATGATTTTTCTTTCATTCCACAAGCTCTAGTGAAGAGGACAATGACTTATAACACTTAGCATTCCCCTCTGAAAGCTCCCAAAGCTTCTTAAGCTAAAGTTTATTTAGTCACAACTTTGATCACAGCTGCACTATGACATTATATTAATACTAAATGTTTCTATCCAGGAAGCAAGGCATACCTAACCAGTCTTAGCATACTAATGCTTCCTCATATTATTAGGAAATGAACTCCAGTGAAAGGAATTTCCAAAGATGCAAAATCGTGGTTAGTGTGTAGCTCTCATCTCCCTTTCTGCACATGTATTTGCCTTCTCAGTGCCTTGTATGTTCTTTATTTTCTGCTCCTGCCAGGTAGTGAAATAGCTGTGTATGAAGGAGACATCCTCCTGAGAAGAGGGCGACGCAGTGCAATTAACTGTGACAGCTGTTTGTGGCCCAAGTCACAAGATGGACTGGTCAAGGTTCCAGTTAACATCTCTTCTGATTTCTGTGAGTGTATGCAAATGGATGCTCTAAAGTTAGCCTTGATTTTTCCAGTCCCTAACTCTGTTACTTTATGTTTCTCTGGCATGCACCAAAAGCAACCTTTGTACAAGTGAGAATTTATTGACGTGTCTCTTTTTCTATCCTGTTAGCCCCATGGAAATTTGGCTAAGACTCCAAATAGATCACACTAAAATATGTGGTTACTTGGGCCAATAGTAATTAATTGTAATTTCAAATAGTAGCTTGCTCCTGTTAGCCACAATGCACTTTGACATTTAACAAGTACATTAGAAGAGGCACAATTTGTTCACATTATTAATGTATTTTTGCCAAAATCACCACTAGGAACATGGTTTTTTCATGCTATAATTTTCTTTTAAATCTCTCACAGAAATATTCCCACACTAGAACTCCTGTAGAGGCAAAAATGGAGCAAAAATCCTTGGAAATATTTTTCCTTTGTTGATTCCCTCTAGTCACTCTATGTAGTTCTGTTCTGTGCAAAAAGCTGCAGGAATGAATTCCATACAGACCCTTCTTCAAAGAGCTTCCCTTGAGAGAAAATGTCATGGAAGTAAAATACAGCCTGAGCCTGATTCTTGTTCCTCAGGGAAAGGAACTGAAAAAGTTCAATCTCTGTGTTATCTAGGCTGCTTCTCTGCCCATGTGCCTCCAGAACTGCAGTATATACTTTTGTGGATAGGTGAGGGTTATTTTCTCTATCTGCCTCTCTCCAAAGTTTAAATATTAGGAAATTGAGATACACATCAGTTGCAGATGATTCATAACTGAGGAAGCCAAATTAAACCAAAATGTTCCAAAGCAGATAAACACCCTGATCTTTATTTGGTACCTGAGCCTTGGCTGTCTCAAGCGATTCCAAGGGGGCTGAGGCAGGCATTTGCTCTTTCTGATAAACAAAATAGGGTTTTGGTGCTTAGCTACAATCAGCTGGCTTATTTGGGATACTCTAATCCAACTATTTATGTCTGAAACTGCCTCATATCTTCTGTTCTGCCTAATGGAAGGAACAATGCCAATCTTTTGCTTTCCATCAGCTGTCTCCTAAATAATATGTATGTGGGATAGCTGTAATTTTATACTTCCCTATAAAAGTCCAATAAGTTTGAAGATCTCTGAATGTTGGGTACCCTTTTTTTGCTATACTTGTATAATAAAGAGCTAATGAGTACTGTGAAGTTTTTAAGGAATGCACCCCATGAATGCACCTTGCTTTTTGATTAACCAAGGAAGATTGCCCCCTTCTCTTTCTAGCAATAACAGAGAGGTCTTGGATTGCTGATGCTTTGCAAGAGATCTCCACACTGACCTGTGTGCAATTTGTAAATCGCACTACAGAAACAGACTATGTTTATGTTGAACGAGGGCAGAGGTAAGCTTTCTGTCTCCTGAGAGAGGCAGCACTCAAAAGTTCTTTTCGATTTTTTTTCTGGTTTGTTTTGGATTTAAGTAATAGCTTTATTTTTTCATACTAGCAGTAAAGATTTAGAGACAAGATGAAATTTTTCATTTTTCTTTAGATATACTGGTAGTTACATCAGCTAATAGGCTGCAGGAATAAATGTGTGTGTGATTTAAAGATAATGGTGTATAACTCAAAATAAGAAATTGTCCTTAATTGTTGTAAAAATTTAAATAAGTATAATTGTTTCAGGTTTTGCTTAATACTTTATACTGCTTTGCCTTAGTTTGATATAGCCAGTTTACTAGTTTAAAATTTGCCATCCTCATCACAAAGGCATTATTTCCCTCCCACCATGTCATTTGGCAGCTTTCAGAAGTCTAGATATCTCATGCCAGTGACTATTTGCGTGTCCCCTGCTGTGGCTGCATATCTAGAGAATCTTGGTGACATAATCAATACATCTATATATTTGTATTTACTAAATGTGATCCTTTTGGTTATTGATTGCTTATTCTTAGCTGCTGGTCTTACTTTGGAAAGATTGGAGGACGCCAAGCAGTAGGCCTGGTGAAAAATGGTTGCATGGATAAAGGAGCAATTCAGCATGAAATGAACCATGCACTGGGTTTCATCCATGAACAGGCACGGAGTGATCGGGACAGGTTTGTCAAGATTATGTGGGAGCACATAGTGGCAGGTATGTCCACTAAATCTTAAGAGAAAATTTATGCTTACAGTTTAAGGAGAACATTTCTCTTGTGAACAACAATGCAAATAAGAAGCATGATTAATGCTGGCTGAGTTGCAGCAGCAGCAAGAACATTCAGTATGATGGAATTTCTTGTTCAGTGTTTGTACTAAGGGAATTTCTGTGGCTATACCTATGGCACTGTGAAAGATGCAGCGTGAAAGTAGCTCTATATTCTTATTGTTTGCCATTTTGAGCCCAGACCCCAAAATACCAGGATCATCAGGATTACAAAATGTTGTTGCAAAGACTTGGCCAGGAGGCAAGACTGTGGGATCCTTAACTGACGGGGGTGAAGTGTGACATTCAAGATAATTTTGGGGATTCACACAACAGTTCTATCCCAGGAAAGCCAGGGAAATAGTGGAAGACAGCCAGTAGGCATCTTGGTGTGAGTGAAATGCACATATCCTAAAATGTATATGATCAAGGGGCTCAATGTGGAGGCATTGGAAACATATGCAACCATTAGCATTCCCAAAATTCTGGGACCTGGCTTGATGTGAGAAGAAAGACTGCAATTATTTCCTCCTTGTGGACAGGATCATAGACACTTGAAAAGAAGGAGCCATGGGAAGCAATCAGGAGTGGTAATTCTGTAGAGGAAAAACAAGTGGACACTATTTATGGAAAGGAATGCAGAATGAATTGTTTGGGCATGTGCCCATGATCCATGTGCTGGGAACATGGGCTCACCATACACAAGAGCTCCGGGCTCTGGGGAGGAAAGGGTAGAGAGAATGGCAAGAGATCCAAGGAAAAGTGAGAAAGTGGTACACAGAAGAAAAACACCAGAAGAAATTATGCAGGGAGTCACTTGTCTGACAACTGTTTAGAGAGCTGAGTAATCCATAACAATTGTAAAAATACAATAGTCTATTTAGTTCATTATGGAAAATAATAGTAAATGAGGCCACACAATTGAATACCAAATTCTATTAAGTCTCTTCAACAAATAAGATACTCAACTACACAATATCATGCCCAGCTAAAAATATATCCATCTTTTTCTCCAGATGGAACTTGATTGTTTTTATTGTGAATTCCTAACACACTGCTCTCCAAACTTTCTTCGGCTATTCCCATGATATCCTAAGTAAATTCCATTTGTCTTGTTCTTTATTGAGGTTTCAGCTCCAGTGTTAAGGTGCAATTTTGCTGTGAGTTGTTTGCCATTGCACAACAAGAGTGTGCCACGTTTGAAATGTCAGCAAAGGATGTGCTAAGAAAGAGAGGTTGAAATCATGGAGTTATATATGCTAAACACACATAGTCTTACAGTTTTGCAAAGGGAACTTCACAAGTTCAGATGTCATAATTCCTGAAGGATACAGATGTAACTAAACTGTGATTCAGGCACAGAGTCATGAAATGATAAATGAGGAAGAAGAGGTAAAGAAGACAAGGCTGTGCCAAAGGAGATGAGGTGTATCATCAGTGGTTTGAGTGTTCACCATGGGTGGAGAATGAGATGATTTGTGTGGCAAGGGAGTTGGAATGCAGAGTGTGCATTGTAGGGAAAAATGCAAAGGTATGCAGGGAAAAGGAAATGGACAAAGAGTTATGTTCATGAGGACCGTAATGTTACAACTTGCTGCTGTTAAGCCTGCTGATGGCAGAGTTCCTGGTGGTGCAGAACTAGACCTCAAGACCTTCTCCAGTGTCTCAGCTCTTGTACAAAAGCAGTTTTTCTCCTGCCAGGACTTTCATATTGCGAATGTTTTCTGGGTTTTGTTTTTATCCAGCAATTTACCTTGGAAGCCATCCTACTTCTTTGTTTTGACAAAATGCAGCCTGATTGGTTGCTGTCCACTTAGCTACTTGAAACTCAGCTTATTTTTCCTACATTTTTGGGAAAAAAAATATATTCAGAGGCTTCAGCCAGTCTTCTCCTTTTCAGCTCTTCTGAGTCATTGTACTTACACTCTGGCAGAGGTAGATTTTTTTTTCTTTTTTGAGAGTGGAAAAGAGGGGTTAAGTCCCCAAACATGTGCAGGTGGAGACAGCCAGATCTCTTTGGCATGTGATGAGGTAGGTAGTAGTTTGCTGGCACCACCTCAGTCCAGCTAAGATGCTGTCACTTTTTCTTTTTTTAGCAAACTAATTCAGCAAAGCAATTCTGTGCCAAACAGTAGCCATATGCTTCAGTGCTTCACCACGTTTGAACTGTGTTCTCTGTTCATCACCTCAAAAAAAGCTGCACACTTGCTGATAATTCTTTTTGAAGTTAGTATAGCAGATAAGAAGGACTGAGATTAAAACAGAGTGAGGAAGGCCAATGCTGTTGAGAAACATTTTAAGCCTTAACTGAGTTTTAGAGCTACAAAAAGCTCCAAATTCATGTTTATTTCCAAATTTTCTATTAGTTGGGATTTCAAATCTTTTTGCATCTCTTAGCCCTCAGCCCAGGACCAGTGCTGAAGGACATTACTGGCTGAGATTTGCTCTGGTTGGAAGCCTGCCAGCGGAGTTGTGTAGATCTCAAGAACATCCAACTCCGAACTCTTGTCCAGATGGTTTGTGGTTTACAAACCACACTTGTAGTTACAATAATGAAGGTACAGAACTGGCAAGGAGTGCTTAGTGGCTAGGGCTTTAGTCTTAATGCCAGGCTGGCTACATTCAGCTCCCTGCTCTGACAGTGCTTATTTGCCTGTCTCACCATGGAGAAGAGACCCAGCACGTAATTCATATTCATGATCTCCAGTCAGTGAGAAAAATAAGTGCCTCCTTCACATGAAACTCCCTCCAACTGTGTCTCTCTTTCCCTCTCCTCTGATTGTCCTGGAAGCCTTGAGGAATAGCTTCAGTGCCTAACTTGAAGAAATAAAGCTAGGTGACATGAAATCCTGTCTCTGTCCCTGGGCCCCAGCCCTGTATCAGTGTAACATCTTATCTCATATTGGCTTTTTAAGGCTGATGAAAAGTGATGGGATGCTCAGCAGCTGTTCTGACAGAATTTGTTTTTCTGCTTCATATGAGTCATATCACTTCACTCTAGCCACTGCTGATGGGTTTGACCAGAGACAAAGCCAGAACATGTCTGGTAGCATGGGCTCTGGGGCAAGTAAGAGGGAAAATATGTTCCTTCTTTTTGTGGCATTAGGACTCAGTATGACATCACCCATGCATAGCTCCTAATTTTTCATCTAGATGGTCAGCCAGATTTCCCCCTCAAGGTATGAATGCAGCTTTGGAGACATAGGTTGGATGCCTATAGTATTCAAGACAATGCACTGAAATGTGTTTGGAGACACCCTAATGAAGAGGGACAGAGGAACACTTTTACTTGAAGAGTAGAATATATTAATTGATTACATCAAAACTTATTTGATTAACTTTATATTCTGAAACCTGCTAGACTGCAAAAATGGGTTCCCATGGATTTCAAAAATCTCTGGTGGTTTTGATAGGTCCAAGATCTCATTAGAACATGTATTAGTATCTATTTTACTCTCTGGATTATGACAGCAGGCAGTGTACTGCCTGTATTAGAGCAGTAATAATTGTTCTGACTGAAATGGTGCTTTCCTACTTTACAGGGGAACAAGGGAACTTTGGAAAAATGAATTCCAAAAACCTAGGCCTTCCCTATGACTACTCCTCAGTGATGCACTATGGCGCGTAAGTTGATGGTGGAAATATCCTTTCAAAGGAGCAAACAGCTTTCAGATCTTCTGCTCAGCTCTAGGAAGAAGTTGTTGCTCTGTGCAGAGAGTGACTTTTGCTGTTCATTTGAGTGCATGGACATAATTAAGGGTGAGCATACTTCCTTTGTCAGCAGGATTCCTGGAAAACAAGAGTTGATATGGATAGGAACAAAACAGAGGACAACATTTTTCTTCCCATGTACTTTTGCCTCTTGCTAAAGGCCTTTGACAGGGCTCTGGCCCAAAGTCGAATTCTACTGAACCACTGATCCAAACCAGTTCTGAAGTTTAAATTATTTCATGAATGTAGTAACAGCTGATCACAGACAATAATATTCAAGTGTAGAGGCAAGAAAAGATGGAATTTTTTTGTATTATGGAGATGTTGTATGCTGCCTTCTGTTAATCTGGGAACACTGTCTAAGGCTGCATTTTAGTCCATAATGTACAAGCTTGTATTCTGTACCTTCTCCTTTATTTCCCCAAGCAAGTAATAATTTCTGAACAAAACCATGATACAAAACTGGACTAGCAGAAGGCAGGAAATTGCAGATAGCAAATAGACAATTAGTAACTGAGACAGAATTATTTCTGCTTCCCTGCCTCAGGAACCAAGAAGGTGGGATTCAGTCCATTTTCCTGGACATTGGTGAAAGGCCTTTACACTCAGGACAGAGCAGCTTTTTCTGCTTGCTTGCTTTCACCTGCTGAACATCAAGTATCTGCCATGCTGGTCCTCTTCAGGGAAGGCTACCAGATCCCTGAGAAGCTTCTTGTCCATTTCCATTAAAACCCTGTTTATGTGGTACATGAGAAATGATGATGCAGTTAGAGAACTTCCCTGTCTATGAAAAGCAGTCTAGAAATGTGATTTCCTTGTTTCTACAGGTATGATTTCTCCAGCACTCCAGGAAAACCAACTATTGTACCAGTTCCTGACCCCTCTATACCTATTGGGCAGAGAGATGGGCTAAGTAACTTGGATGTAGCTAAAATCAACAAGCTCTACAAGTGCAGTAAGTGCTGTACATGAAAGGTATATGAATATAGCTGATGTCTGAAGGCACTGACAGACATCCCCCAAAGGAATGTGGCCCACAGTCCTTCACTACCTCTCACCCTACAACAGGAAACAGAACTCTCCCTGTGCCAAACTGCTGTCTTCTTGGAAAGGACAATTTGCTTTCAATAATTCACTCTCATTTTGAGTTATCCTCACCTAATCCCTGCTCTTTGAGATAAGCAAAATCCATCAGAGAACTCATGGTTGCTACCTCTGTCAAATTCTCATTTCAGGAAAGCTCTGAAGGTAGCAAAGCATGTAAGCTCTCCTCAGCCATGAGTATAGCTTAGAGCCATGTGCATCAGAAGTGCCAGCAGATTTGTCATTTCTCTTAATTCCAAAATGTCTGCAAAGCTGAAAGCATGGGTGCCATTCAGCCTGATCAGAACCCCTTGGAAGAGAAAACCATAGGCATTTTGTATAGATGTCTACTTTCTTGCCACACCCACTTCTTAACTCATCCCTGTGCTATCTTAAAGTCTAGAAATACCTAAAATTCCTCTGTAAACAGGAACTCTTCAGCCAAGATGCACAAAACAGGTATAACATCATGCTCCTGCACTGCATGGGTTTTGCTTGAACTCCCAGGACAAAGGCTAATTGATTTACATGGCATTTGACTTTTCTGAGATGTTATTCAACAAATCAGCAAGAAGCACTAACAAGATCTAAATATTAGTGTACTAAATTCTGCTCTTGTGTTAGAACTTAGTTAAATAATTAGAATTTAGAAGGAATCAGCATTCCTTCAGTTGGATTGTTAAGTACAGAAATCATTGCTGAGAGTGGTTACTCCACATTCACAACTGCAGATGAGACAACTTTACAATTTATGTGTCTCAAAGATAGTGATAACAAGTATTTTGTGATATTCATTCTTGACAGTGGGGCTGGGAATGAATCACATTTCAGTACCATTACTATGCAATTTCATAATTAGATCTGTATGTTTTGGAAGAAAAGCACTAAATTTTAAAAAGAGAGAAAAACTTGGGGACTAAAAAAAAAACATAAAAAGTCTGGTTGTCTCAGGAAGAGTAGGAAGCAAGACAAAACATGTCAAAAATTCCTATGAGCAGATGTTAGATATTCATATTTTGTAATTTGGGGAATTACATAAGATGCAAAAAACTACATAAAATGAAGAAGTGGAAAAACAGAAGACAGATGAGATCAGACTTTTTATACCAGTCTCTAGGTCTGTATGTTGACTTCAGTGCTCTCTGTTACCATTTTCCCTTAGTGACTATCTGTCTTTGCTTTGACAAAATCTTGTTTTCAAACTTGATTTTTGAACACACTTGTGCATACACACAGTTGCTAATGGAAATTTTTGTAGTGCTGTCATTGAATGTACTTCTGTGATTGAAGTTAAGGAAGTTCGTGAAAGATCCAGGCCTCTTTTAGTAAGCTAATATATGTGAATGAAGCCCTATTGTCTTTTCAAAAAATATTAATATCTAAAATAGGCAAGTACTTCGACGTACTGCCTTTATTTCACTTCCAGGTTTTCAATAAGTTTTACACTAGGAACAGCAATACAGTTGTAAGCAGTACAATTAATTTATGCAAGCTTGACTGCTGCAAATGGTTGGAGAGATTTGTCAGGCATTATGGGAATATTTCTGTGCAGTTTTCATTCTCTTCAACAGTGTTTGGTTCTTCCCTTCAGATTGCTGTAGCTCTGTGTTGTCTAAACCCAAAGGCTCGTTCTCCTCTGTCAATTACCCATCCCCATACCCCAACAACAGCAACTGTCTGTGGCTGATCCGCATCCGTCGAAGTAAGGTAATTTTTATTTGGAAGATAACAGTTTGAAGCACAGTATCCAGGCTACACAGCATTATTTCATTACCATGAGTAACCCCTGGGAGTCAGTTCATGCATCAAGACATTTATTTTGTTATGCAGCAAATGAAAGTCTCAACAATTTCATAAGAACTAACACTATTAGAGGGATTATTTCACTCAATTTTTATCCAGTTCAGATGGGATGGCTTTTCAAAGACAAGCAGTAGTGAAACATCAGTCTCTTGGATCTCAGTAATAGGACAGCTAGATGAAATTCTGTGCTGTTTTTATATAGAAAGTAAGGTTTCAGTAATACATGGATAGTAAAATGAATAGGAAGGTTTGAGACTTTCCCTGTGTATAACATTAAACCCAACTTTTGCTTTTTTGTTTCTCCAGATCTTCCTGCAGTTTGAGGCTTTTGATCTCCAGCACTCCTCAGGCTGTTCTTCTGACTATATAAAAATTTACAACGGGAACAGCAAGAGCTCCCCTGTCCTGCTGGACAAGTACTGTGGGAAGGGTCCGCTGCCCTCCCTGGTGGCATCGGGATCCACAATGCTGGTGGAGTTTGCAAGCGATGAGAGCATTACAGCCACAGGATTCAGAGCCTCCTACAACAGGGGTATGAACACTCCTTTACAAAGCTTGGAGAACAGCATTAGCAGTATTTGTACAGAAGAACTGAAAACTTTTACTATACACTACAGAGTAGGACTTTTTGCTCATTCTTCACACTTCCAGAGCACTTGGAAATGCAGAAGGTGGGCAATGATGTGTCTAAAGGTTCACAGAAACAGAAAATCGGATGTCACATGGGTGTCATGTTAGTTATCCTGAGATATCATTCAAATTCTTCTGAGAGCCTTATTCATATCTCCAGAACAAAATCTTTAAATAAAAACAATGCAATGACTGAAATTAATAGGAGCAGTGCAGCCAAAGAGCACAAAGACTGCAGAATCAACAAGAGACCTCAACCAATGGGATGCAAAGCCAGGATCTGGGCAAGATATTATTCAGGGTTTTGTTGGATTTTATACAGCAGCGGAGGTACTGACCTTGGGTACCTTACACCTTCTGAATTAAAAACTTTATTAGAAGTTATATACACAAAACACTGTGCTTCCTGTAATCATGTGAGGGTGTCTTTTTTGCAAACACAAAAATGCATTCTGGGCTGCTAGACCAAATTCTGTTGTCCTGTGTCATGCTTTCAGAAAGAAGGCAATAGCCCAAAGTTGCCATATTTCAACTGAAAATCCAAGCTTCTTTAGAGCATAAGTTGAAGAAGTCTTAGAAAAGTCTTATTTTTACTCTTTTTACTTTATTCAATGGAGTAATTTCTAGAAAGCACTAGATCTAGCTTGATAATGCAATCTTGAATACTTAAGCTGATTCTTTTCTGAAGGGCAGTCAGTGCCATCAGAATGCTATGCTAACATGGCAACAGTTGATTGGAAAGTCAGATACAGCTTTAGATGCAGCTGTTCCCTGTCCTCCATAGATTATTTATCAGACATGTTTCTAGTTCCTTCAGTACAGCTGCTGATACAAATACTAAGTGAAGAAATAAAGTACTTCAGCAGTGGGTTTTCATGGTAGCACATCTTTTTTTGGTTTGAAGAAATAATATAGTAGGCTGTAAGCAAGCTTATTTCTACTGACAAAATGCTCTTGTTAATATATCTGGCTTTCTCCCTTTTCTCCTCAGTGAATTGTGGAGCTACTTTCAGAGATTCAAAGGGAGTCATCACCTCTCCAAACTACCCCAATAAATACCCCAAAAACCGAGCATGTTTCTGGGTCATCGCTTCTCCAGTAGGATATAAGGTAAGGCACAGATGAGTTCATTTGTGGGTTTCATTACTGTTCTCTGATGAAACCTGTTTCCCTTGAAGAATAAGAGCTGTTATGTCACTTTTTCAGAAGATCTCCTCAGAGTAAAAATCTGAAAGCAAAAATTCATTTTAAGAATTGAGCTGAATCTTAGTATCTGAGGTGCTCTGCAAGAGAAAAACCTTTACACATGCAAGTGAGCTCATGAATCTGGCCTGTACCACAAGGCTTTGTTCAAAATAATCCCTAGGCAAAGGCTCCCACTAGAAAGCTGAAACATCACACAGGTGCTGATTTTATATTACTCTAGAGGAAAGACTGTGAAGCGTAGAAGATCAATCTTGTCCCTTGCTTATCCTTCCAATCCAAATACTGATGAACTAAGCAAATAATTTGCTACTAATTTGCATTGCCATATGGGATCAGGATGTGGTGCACACACAGAATAAAAAAATGGTGCCTGCACACAAGGAGTTTAGAGTATTTGTTTTTGTTAAAAAATGGGTAAGAGAAAAGGTTGCGACCTGGAAACAAAGTGCTTTTGTTGTATTTTCTCCAGATATCTCTCAAAATGTTATCCTTTGAGCTGGAATATAGCGACAGATGCATCTATGACTACTTGCTCATTCATGATGGAAGCCGCCCTATGTCACCTGCAGTTGGCCCTTATTGTGGGACAGAGAAGGTTGCAGACTTTACTTCCACTGGGAACTTTGTGCTGGTTGAATTCCACAGTGATTTAGTGTGGGAGTTGCCTGGATTTGTGATGAGTTATACATTTGCTAGGTAAATATAATACAGATAGGGTTTGAAAAACAGAATGAGAGTGAGAGTTCAGCTAGCCTCAGGTAAAAGTGAAGATGCCACCAATTTCAGAAAAAAAAAATATATAGCCTGATACCTTTAACAAGCATGAAGTTTGACCTCTTAGTCTTACATCTACAGCGGTGTAATTTCCATGGTGAACCAAGGACAGAAATGTTCCTGCCCATGGGATGCTTCTGTCTGAGACTGTATGCTTTTTGTTATAGTATTCTCATTGCTGGTGTTGCCTGGCCAAACACAATAGCAGAGCTGAAACTACGTAAGCAGATTTTCAAGAACTTCTAGTGGTTAAAACTGTGCCCATAAAAAAATTCAGAACATGGCTGTGTAGCAACTTTAACCTGTATTCTGGCAAATGCTATTACCCAGCCTAAATGTGCATTCCAGCATGCATACAGAAAAATCTTCAGACACATTTATTTGTTTTGAAGCCAAGATCACAGTTCATATAGACACCAGAGCTTAGCCTGGAAATCACCAATTGACCCCAAACAAGTGGTGTCATAGCACAGTATGACATACAGTACCTCAACTCAAAGATTTGCACTATTCCTCTGTGAGATGGACCCAGGTCAGGGAACAGATTTAAAGAAACTAAAGTTAAGAGTAGCAGGAATAAGCACTGAGGGAGGGAGAATGGAATGAAGTACCTGCTGTTGTCACTTTGCTGTGGCCTGAATTGGATATTGAAATTGTTCATAAGGTGTTACCAAAATACTTTTTGAAAATGAGGCTTGAAAATCTAATGCAAAGACCATTGAATGTTCTCTTTGGAAAGTATTTTAGGTGTGAAGTACCTTGTCTGTAGAGAGAAATGCTCCTCCTCTAAAGAGATGGCTGGAGTGGAGAAAGAAATCACCACTGTAAAACTTAACACTTTGCCTTGACTTGATGTATTCAGAATTAAATGCTAGTGCCAAACGGGGAGATGCCAAAGCATAATGAACAATGAAAGACTTTGCTGAAATTATGTCTTTGTGAAGAAGAGTGTGTAGAAATTGCCAATTTGCTTTCCTGGTGCAACCAAAAAAATTTTGAATTATGATGACTTTGTAGCAGTGGGGGGAGAGGTTTAAAATCTGTAATGTTTTGCTTTTTAAGCACTGGTTGATTTTCACCCACAGAAGAATGATAATTGATAAGTTGTGGACATGAAGGTTTAGAGCTTTCTTGCATCATGGTGGGAAAGTGCATGCACAGCAGGCAACAAATATTTGTATTTCTTACAAGCTCCAGTCTTCTGGCTATAAAAAGCATTCCTTCATTTAATTTGACTCACTATTTAGATTGGCATATTTTTGGAGAATGTAACTATTTCATCAGCATGTCAGAAAATTAAACTCTACTTCTATTTTTAAGCTCAGCTTCAGACTATAAAAATGCTAATTCTTCTCCTTGAGTCTGAGGACTTTGATGGAGGTGCAAAAGTAACAACCCCATGACAACTCTGATTATATAATGAAGCAAACAGGTCCCTGTTTTAAACAGACAGTGCTGAACAACTTTGTAACTTGACTATTACCTTAGATTCCCTTCCCTTGATCTGATGTGGAGCTCTACAGATGTGCAATGTTTTAGATGTTTACCCATACTTGGTAAAAGAACAACAGCATATTCCAAAAGCAATATACCACCTACAGGAATACTGGTCTTGCAATTTGGCCCTAGAAATATGGTTTTAAGTAGGACATTGTCCAGGTATAAATACAGTCATATTCTGAACTATGTGAAGGGAGACTGACCAGCTAGTACACACAAGGGACAGTGTAGTTAAAAGTTTAGGATTCAAATACCACAATAGAAGGATTTTCAGAAGTTCTAACTAAAGTTCAGCACTCAACACACTTTTGAAATCCAAAATGTAAGGATTTAACCTTAAAACACAGAAGTATCTAGCAGTGAGGAATATTTGCATTCCCATAGATGTACATAACTCATGACATAACAGGTATTACCTTAACTGCATACAAAACCATATGTTTTTAAAGAGATCCACTTCCAGAAGCCTGTGTGTGTGGAAGAAATAAGTGTTTGTGCCCACATATTCCTTTTTTACCCGCTTTGAGACTGTCCTGGTTCCTGCCTGGGAGGCAAATCAGAGCTTTTGAGTGCTGTGCTTTTGTAGTCTGTAAGAACCAGAACAGAGATCTGTCAATTATTGCTGCAGGAGAAAAATGGCTTGGAATAAAGCATTACAGAAGCACACAAAAATGTACTACTCATAGGTCTATTTCTGTGTTTAATTTAAGATGCATTTTCCTCACGTAAACAAATAACCATGGTTGAGATGACGCTTGCATGACTACAGCCCCGGTTACTGAATCATAGAATAGTTTGGGTTGAAAGGGACATGTAAAGGTCACCTGGTCCAAAACCCTGCAATAAGCAGTCACCTTCAACTAGACCAAGTTGCTCAGAGCCCCATCCAACCTGACTTTGAATGTTTCCAGAGGTGGGGCATCCACCATCTCTCTGCTACAGTGTCTCACCACCCACATAAAAACTTTTTCCCTTATATTAGTGCAAAACCATTGTCCCTTGTCCTATCACAACAAGCCCTGCTAAAATTCTTGCTCCCATCTCATATGAACCCCCTATAAGTATGAAAGGCTGCAATAAGGCCTCCCCAGAGCCTTCTCATCTCTTGAATTAACTCAACCTGGCTCCCTCAGCATGTCCTCATAGGAAAGGTGCTCCAGCTCCCTAATCATCTTTGTGGCCCTCTTCTGGATGTACTCCAACACGTCCTTGTCTTTTCTGTGCTGAGGACTCCAGACCAGGATGCAGCACTCCAGGTGGGAGCTGCCCAGATCAGAGTGGCTATAACTTTATAGGACAGAGAATGTACAACCTACTGCTCAACAACTGAGTTTGGCAAGAAGACACACAAACTAAAGCCCTCCCTTTAATCTCTCCTGCACTTCAAATAGAAATTGAAAACCTTATAGGCTAAATCGTCACATAGGATTTTATAATCGAGTTCGCTTTACCATGAGAAACAGCCGCGGGCAAAAAAGAGAAATAAAGGAAAGCTAGGGCTGCTCGGCTGTCAAATGGCCTTCCGTTCAGGAGCTGGAGAATCGCGGGGGCCGGGCCCCCTCTGGCGGACACCTGCAGGGAGGGGGAATGGGAATGGGAGCGCGTAGCGCCGCTTCTGCAGGCAGGTGGGACAGAGCCATCTCCCGGCTGGCCCGGCCGCGGCCCCGGCTCCGTGCGGCCCCGGCTCCGGGCGGCCCCGGCTCCGTGCGGCCCCGGCTCCGGGCGGCCCCGGCTCCGGGCGACTCCGTGCGCAGCCGAGGCGCTCTCAGCAGGGAGGCTCCGTGTCCTTAGCGGGATCCCCCCGCACTCCTCCATGGATGGGAAGGGTCCCTTGGGCTGCTGCTTGTATTTTCTCTTCCAGAGCTGCACTCCAAATTCCACCCGTCAGTCGGTAGGTTGCACTGTAACATCAAGGCTGGAGTCTCCTGTCCTGTTTTCCCATTGAGCAGCTCAATAGCAAAGACAATGAAGCCTTTTAGTTGAGTTTGTCCCGATTCCCTGCTTTATGCCTACAATACCTGGAATGTCCGGGTGGTCTCTAACACAACTGCTGGACAGGTAAGAAGTTTAGCTTCCAGCTGTCTTTCTAATGTTTTTTACCATTAAGAAACCTAACCGAACAAAAGCCCCAACAAGCACACAAATGCCAAAAATGAAAGATTGAGAGAGAACCCCCCCATTTTTTTCCTTTTAAATTCAGCTTAATTCAGATATTAATGAATTTTACTTCCTGGAATAAATCAGTGAGTTTCCTAACTTAATTGTGTGAGTCTTAACAACGTGGGGTTATATATTAAACAGGAAAGAATGCACAAGGCACTTGCAAACCCACGCAGTTAACAGGATGACTCACTTGCACTCCGTGACTCTTTTTGCAAACACTGCAGGACACTTACTCCTGAGGGCAGGCGGATCAACACTGGCAGAAGGATGGGTTGCAGTTTTGTAGTTCGGCAGATTCCTGCTATTCTGAGCCAGGATCTTACCACAGGTTTCGGACAAAAAGAAACCACCCAGAGTAGCTTGAGAGCAACACTGTCAGCCTGAGAGAATACACTGTCTAGTTTTATTAACATCCAAGAACAGCTAATGCCCTCCGGGCCAGAACGCCTCAGGCGGGGGCGGGCAGGGGCACCGGACTGCACGTACCACAATGCACCGCGCGGCGATGGTAGCCGAGCCGGCCGGCCACTGGGATCGTGTGGAGCTCTGGGTAGTGTAGTTTATTTGCGAGAGCCACCTGGCGTCTGAAAGCGGGGAGGGATGAGCAAAGGAATACAACTCCCATAGGGCCGTGCGTCGCCAGCTCTGTGTTGAGGGGACGGGAGGGTGGTGTCCGCGGCCCCGGGCTTGTGACAGCCCCGCTCGCCGCCGATCCTTGGGCCTGAGGCAGCCGCAGCACCGGGCAGACCATGGAGCTTGGGATAGCGGGGATGCAGCGCCGTGCCTGAGGGCGGGCTGGGGCTCTAGCGCCATGGATAGCCGGTGCTATGGGTGCGCGTCCAAGTTCTCTGTCTTCAAGAAAGAGGCAAGTCCGGCTGCAGGGGTCAGGAATGGGCTGGTCCCGCGGGTGCCTCCCCCGCCGTGCGAGGGTCTGAAAAGGGAACCGGGAGCTGCTTCGGCCGGCGCCGAGACACGCTTCCCGGCCAGCATCCTGGCGCTGTTGTCCTTGCTTACTGAGCTCTCGTGATGCCTAATTCTGATATGTCTTCGAATAAGAGAAATTACTGACCAAAACACCAAAAAGTCATTGAATGCCATCCCTCTAATCCAGGATTCTGCCTGTCATGGTCTCAGACAATTCACACACAACACACTTGGCTAAACTATGGGGTGAAGTGGTGACGCTGCTCCCAGCAGGAGTTACCTGGTTCTTGAGTCTCCAAGGTTCTTGAGTCTCCATATCATAGCTGGTGAAACAGTTCTGTCCCACAACAATCAGCATAACCCCGGCATTATTTCGTGTGTGCTGGGCACGGGCACTGTGCCCGCAAGCGGCAGCGGTGTGGTGGCCAGGTGGTGAAGCCCTTCCTGCCCCTCTCTCCTGTCCCTGCAGTGTGGCTGCAAGAACTGCGGACGCTCCTTCTGCTCGGGCTGCCGGAGCTTCAGCGCTGTTGTTCCCCGCTGTGGAAACACACAGCAGAAGGTGTGCAAGCAGTGCTATGGGAAACTAACTGGGTAAGATGGGAATGTTTCTTCACCCAAAGACAGTTTGCTGCTTTTTTCCTTCAGTTTGCGTTCCATGTGGTGTTGCAGATTTCTGCAGGAGAGCTCTGCCTTCCATATGTGCAGGGATGCTGCCTGTACCCCAGAATATCAGGACATTTCTGAACTTGTTGTTATATGAGCTGTGCAGTCCTAACATAGGAATCAGGATTTGTGCCTGTTCTCTATGGTTGACTAAGTAGTTTGAAAGCATTAGGTTCAAATCTTCATGGATGGACACTGAATTCCTGTGGACAGCTTAACTAGATGGGCTGAGGTTAAGCCAGGCTGTGTTTTTGCCCAGAAATCTATACCACTTTAATAGTTCTGGCAGTCTTAGATGTGAATAGTTGAGTAGCCTGACAATAAGATGTTCAAAATCTTACTAATTCTGTGGGCAAATGATGACATAAATCCTCCTTGTTGAGGGATCTCTGCTATGTGTGGCCTGAAGGCATAAAGTTTTGTAGCCTAAAATCTATAAAATTTTTGCTTTTAAAAGAAAACTTTAAAAATTATTTGCAATCATAACCAGTAGACTTCCTGTTGGAAACAAAACACAAATTTTGAAAACAAAATTCAGTAGCAGCAGGATTATAGACTTGAACAAGCAACACAAGAACATAGGTGTACACCAGAATTCCTCTGTCAACCAATTTTTTTGTGTCCTCCTTTTTCTTTTTCATTTTTCTTGTTCCTTTTCCTCACTTTTCTCCTATAGCATGGAATTTTCACCAGCAAGGGGGGAATATTCTGGCTTTGCAGGTGTCTAAAGGAGAAGCGTCTCATTAGTGAAGGTCTTCATCTTCACAGGCTGCTGAAAACAGTGAAGGACAGTATTCAGTCTTTTCAGTTTTGAAATTTTCTGATTTCCTTCACAACTTCAAAGCCATTAAGAACACAGGGCCACCTGTCTTGACGTTTCCTCTGGGTGTTTTTTCCTCATAATTTTAATATCAGCACTAGGGAGCTACAGCAGAAAAACAGTCTTCCCTGGTTGGATAGCAGGTAGATTATAGAATCATAGAATGGTCTGGGTTGGAAGGGACCTTAAAAATCATGTATCTCCAGCTGCTGTGCTGTGAGCAGGGACACCTTCCACTAGACCAGGTTGCTGAGAGCTCCATCCCAGCTGACCTTGGACACTTCCAGGGATGGGGCATCCACAGCTTCTCTGGGCAACCTGTTCCAGTGTTTCACCACTCTCCAAGTAAAGAAATTTTTTTCTAGTATCTAATATAAACCTGTGCTCTTTCAGTTTAAAACCATTCCCCCTTGTCCTGTCACTATGTGCTCTTCTAAAAAGTCCTTCTCCATCTTTCTGGAAGTTTCTGGGAAGACCCCAGAGCTGAATGCAGCACTGCTGGTGGGGTCCCATGAGAGAGGAAGAGATGGGTAGAATCCCCTCCCTTGCCCTGCTGGCCATGCTGCTTTTGGATACAGCCCAGGACACAGCTGGCTTTTTGGGCTGCGAGCACACATTGCTGGGTCATGTCCAGCCTCCTCTTCACCAGCACTCCCAGGTCCTTCTCAGCAGGGCTGCTCTTGATCTGTTTGTGCCCCAGCCTGTGTTGATACCAGGAGTTGCCCCAGCCCAAGTGCAGCACCTTGCACTTTGTCTCGTTTCACCTTGTGAGATTCCCAAGGCCCCACTTCTTGAGCTTGTCCAGGTGCCTGTGGATGGCATCCTGTCCTGCAGGTAACACTCATAGGCTGCACTTCTGTAAGCTGCATATGTTGTTCTGCATGCAAATAGCTTTCAGAATTGAAGCCTTAGAACTTTGGAAAGTGTTCCAACAGTGTTGCATTCAGTCATTACTATATGGGCCTTAGCTGTGATTTCTAAGAACAAATAAAATATGCTAACTAACTTATATAAGTGTCTACTTTAGTCCCTCAGCCTGAGCACAGCAAAGTAGAAGAGTTAGATGTGTTTTAGGTGTGCAGTGTTCAAGTGTTTTGTAAGATGTTATATAAGAACTTCTGTAACACTTTGTTTTACTTGTATGTTATATAATTCTGTGTTTGTCGCATGTCCCAGCTCCTTCCAGAGAGTCCTGCTGCATGGAAGCTAATTACCCTGGGAGTCTCACCTAAGCACTCCCTGCCTGCCCTCTGAGCTGGGAGGTGCAGGCTGTGGGAGGCAAGGGTGTTTCAGCCCCACCTCCTTGGGTCACTGGTGGCCGAATTAAGTCACATTCTGTCCAGATGCAAAACAACTGGACCAAAGGACAGAGATGAAGGCTCCTGCTGTCCTGGACAGCTATGTTGTCTTAATCCCTTGCATAAGCTGATTCCTCTCAGTATTAACGAGGTTAAGAAAGGGGCTGTACCAAGAGGTCAAGAAACACCCACTGATTCCTCTTGAGATGAGAGACTAGATGATTGTCGGTATTGTCAAGTATTGTCAGTATCTTGAGTTCAGAGAAATCATTTTTGTCTTTCAGAGAAGGATCTCAAAGCAGTTCAGCAAAATGGTCACCACCAGAAAACTACAAAAAGTGAGTTGCACTTGCCAAGCAGTTCTTTCTACTGCAGACAAGCCTTTTAGGGCTTCCTCTTCCCCTGTGGATACCAGGAAAAATGGGGCATGTGGTGTGGGTATTTGCTTGTTCAGAATTAGATTAAGGATGGACTTTTTGTTTGCTGTTTAGGCTGTTAGTTTGTTTGGAGGGGTGGGGGCTATGCTCTTTTGAATGGACTCCTGAACAGCCACCTGCCTGCAATTATCTGTGGCTGATCAGAGTTGGCTTGGAAACGGGAATCTTGTGGTGAAATGTTCCTTGTCTGCTGGGAGGTGCTGCCAGATGTGTTCTTGTAAGCTAAGATTTGCCTTACTCTTAGGAGTACTTTATTGTGCTGATATTGGAGAGAGTAATTTCATTTCTGTTCTGCACTGGCATTCTTCAGATAGCCTTGTGGGTTCACAGAGGATGTTTTCTTATCTCCAGGTTAAAATCCCTGTTCTCATTGACATGTATTTTTTCCTTCCTTGTCACAGGCGTGTAGCAGCTTTCGAGGCTAAACAAAACCAGATGAAAGACCAACAGAAGGCAGCTGCAAAACCCCCAGGTCGAGCAGGCTGCAGATACCAGGGGCTCTCAAAAGAGGATAGAGCTATTGCAGAGAGACTGGAGAGGCTCAGGGAGGAAAGGAAACCAAGTGAGTTTTAGAGAACACCATAAATACCATGGGTGGGAACACCACTATTTGGGAAAAAATGAACCTGGAGGGCGAGGGAAGTGCTGGGCTTTAAGTGGCTGTGATATTAGGGGGATGGAGGCTTAAAATAGGACAAGGTCTGCTGCCACAATGACCAACTTCTACCATGATTTTAGATCAATGTTCCAGTTTCATTTTGCTTCTTGGGATTTCTCTTGAAACTACTACTCAGTTTTGGAGCAGTGTCTTACTTCAAGCAAAATCACTTCCTCATTTTCCATTTTTTGGGGTAAAAACATGTGTCAAACCCACTTGGAGTAGAATGAAATGAAAGTCTTTGGCCAAACTATTTTGAAGAAGTGGGTCTTGGGCAACAGCAGTTCAGTCTCTGTGGGACTATATTCTAATCTGCCTTGTCTCACAGAGAAGGAAAAGGATTTTCATCCCAGTCTACAACTGCCAGGTTCTGGGACTGCTTTGAGGTGCTTGCATGAGAGTAAACTATTTTAAATGTTATGTATGATCTCTAAAAGAAAAAGAACACTCTTCAGAGTGGCTACCTGGTTATCATAGAATCATCGAGTCAAACCGTCCACTGCCAAGTCCACCACTAAACTATATCCCAAAGTGCCACATCTACACATCTTTTGGGTACCTCCAAGGATGGTAACTCAGCCACTTCCCTGGGCAGCCTTTTCTAGGGCTTGATAACCCTTTCTGTGAATTTTTCCTGATATCCAATCTAAACCTCCCCTGGAATAACTTGCAGCCATTGCCTGTCATCCATTATGTGGCAGGGGGGAGTTTCAGTATGTTAAGGCTGGGATTGCATTAGATGTGAGACCAATGGACTGAACTGCCTAAATTACATTGATTTCTCTGCCTGTCCCTAGAATCCCAAGTCAGCTGATTTCCAGATGACATCACCCTAATACTTGTGTTATGGCTAGGAGATAAACTGTGAAGAAAGCAAGGGCTTGGAAGAAAGGGATAGCAGTTAGCATCAGGGTAGTCTCGGAGTCACTGCAGTATGACCCTTCATTCAGCCCAGGCTGGGCAAGGTTTTTGCTCAGGTGTTCAGAGTCTGATTCCAGAAAGAAATACAATTTTAAGGAAAAAAACCCATGTAGCTTTTCATTTTCAGTAAAAAAAATAATCTCCTCCCTTGTGTTATTGTGAATTGCAGAGTCCATCCCTACTCAGGCTGAGATCGAAGCTAGGCTGGCAGCCCTGAAGGAGGATGGCCGAGGACCTGTTCCATCCACACAGGAAATGGAGGACCGGCTGGCTGTCCTGCAGGGTAGAGATCCTCCTTCCCAAGCTCCCAGACCTGTAAGCTCCCTCAGCTCTTTAGTCAGCAATTTATTCTGAGCTGACACAGTAACTGGTGTCACAACATGCTAACCATTCTTCCTTCTTCAGCCTTTTTGTGTCCAGGTAGCTTTCTTCAGAAATCTCTGTTTCCTGATTGTGTCATTGCTCCAGAAGCAAATCACCAGCCTTTACTCGTTCACTGCTTCAATTTGAATCTAGCATGTTCCTTTATGCCAGATGTAGTTTGTGTGTATATTTTTAACAATAGATGTTAGGGTTTTTTATTCTCAATTCATTTATGTACATAAGTGGTCACAGTTTTTCAGAGCTGTTTGTGTTGGAGGCTTATCAGCTCTACCTTCTAATTACATCTTCTAGTTGTTACTGCATACCAGCTGGGCAGAAACCTGTTAATTTTAACAGAAATGGAAGCCTAGCATGATTTGTCTGAGTTTGCAGAGGAACCGGTTGGATATATGCTTTGAAAGCCTATAGGAATGGTCTTGTCCCCCAAGATACCATTTCCTTATGGTTCTTTCAGCTGCATGCCATCATAGGTCTCTGTGGGGCTTGCTGGCTGGCACTGTTGTGAATGGTGCTTTGTTTACACTGGAGGTAGTGGCAGAGCTGGAGTTGGGACCCAGCAGCACATATTTCTATACACTCAGCACCCCTTTGCCTTCTTTGGGTGACTGCTCTTAGAGCTGTGTGCATTCAGCACCTCTGAAAATGAAGCCCTTACAAATCTTACACCACATAACTCTGAACTGAGATTCTCAATGTTAGTGGAGGCGTCTTTGTATAGCTCCCTTCTAGGGTGATCTTGATTGCCAAATTTGATTGAGTATGCCACTTTCCTCTCATTTGCCTTTTCCCACACTCCCCTGGTTCCTTAGGTGCACCAAGCCCCGGATACCCGAAGTCTGGTCCAGCAGACAGATGACCTGTTAACTCAACTGTCTGAGGAAGTTGCCATTGATGAGCATTACAGACCAAGAGCTCAGCCTCAAGGTATCTGTTTTGACTTCTAAAGATCTGTTTATGTTTAATAATGTATGTGCTGTGCTAAGAAGGGCGTTTGTCCCTGTCTGTGTAACTTAACAGGTGAGCTGAATGTCCAGTTTGTCCATATCTTCCCCTTATAATCCCTTGCACTGACCAAGAGTGGCTCCTCACTGCGTCTTGGTGTCTTTGCTTGGAGATAGTTCCTTCTTGTCAGGGGTATATTATTCAGATTCTCTGTTTCTCTAGAGTGACTCCTCTCTGGGGAGGAGCTGTTGCTACTGCTAATGCACCTGTGCCCTGTTACAAAACACCAGAATCCGTCATACCATTATCTTTCTGGCTGCATTGCCTCCTCTGTAATCTCACTGTAAGCCCCAGATTAGCTCATTTTCTTCTCTTCATGTACAGTGAAGATCCTACTGGCATGCCTTTTCCTCTCGTTATCCAGTTTTAGGGAGAGCAGCAAGCTGCTCTCATAGCATTATTTGTCATGTTTTCTGTGCCCAAGGAACATGGCTGCTGAGTCACCAGTGTGTTGTGTGTCTGTCTGCAGCTGCTAGTAGCCAGAGTTTGAATGATCTCAATCGGGGAAGTGAAGATTGTGTTTGCCTTGCAAATCTGGACCCAAAACAGCTAGAGGAAGAGAAGAATAAACTTCTAGCAGAAGCTGCTGCTGAGCTGCAGGAAGACAACACTAGGCAGGAAAAGATCCTACAGGTTGCCAAGAGACTGGCAGCACTCAAAGGCGAGGACCCAGAGAAAGGTTGGTAGCAGATGAGAATACAGTGCCAAGAGAGGAATCGAGTTGCTGTGACAGAGTAAATTTTTTATTAGTGTTTATCCATTTAATTCTTCTGTTCTGCAAGAAACAGACTGAGATTTGGTTCTGTCTGCAAAGTTGTACAGGTTGGTTTGTCATGAAATCATTACAAAAGATCTAAATTGAGGGTAAGGGCTGGCACTGTAATGTCAGACTGCTTTGTCTTGCACCTTTCTTTGGGATAATTCTAGCATGCTCTGGTGAGGTTAACAAAACTTTTAAAAGCAAAACTCTGGTTTTTCTGGGGACTTTTTCCATCTCTCTTCCAAGTATTGAAAATAAACAGTAATGTCCTTTATGAGGAACCTGCACCTTAAAAGGTCAGAGCCAGACTGCCACAGCCAGCTCACACCACAAAGAATTGTCTCTGGTACATTAGTGTGCACAAGGCTTGAGGCAGGTGTGAGTTACAGTCTCACATTTCTTACTCCTACAGTTACACTGGAAACCTATAGGCTCCCTGACAGTGATGAGGAAGTGGCTGAGGAGGAGGCCATTCGCCGAGTGCTGAAACAGGTCAGAAGTGGCAGCTGTGGCCTTGTTTTTCTTCCTCTTGGTTTTGTCTTGTGTGTGTGTTACCTGGTGAGCGTACAAAGGTTGTGTTTCTGTTCCTGAGAAGTTTCCTTCCTTACTTTCCTAGTGCTTTTCCAATACTAGCTCCCATGGCCCATTCAGCTATTTGACAGGCAGTTGAAAACAATACTTCTAGTCTGTCACACTGTCTTTCTCATTCATGCTTAGTGTCTCTTGTGGTCTGTATGTCTCCTGTATAACCACACTTTGCTGGTATTTCCTCTCTTCTTGTTCTGTTTTCCTCCAGCCCCTTAGAACATGGATGATGAGATGTGTGCTGTGTAGCTCAGCTTACACCTACATTTCTCCCCAAAATGTATATGAATTGTCTTGCAGGCAGACCTGAGCTTAAGTTTGTCTGATTTGTCACATGTGTTTGATTAGCATGATGCTGAGGGCCTGCTAGCTACACTGCAAAGCAGAGTGTGTGAGCTACAGACCCCTGCTGCTGCAGACTGTCCACAATGCACACACAGTGTTCCAAGTGCAGAGTGAGCTTACATCTGGCTGGGTAACACCAGCTGCTTTCAGACTTGTCATCTCCTGTTACTGCATGAGAGTATTGAGTGCAGGAGGTTTAGGGCTTGGAATGAGGCTCCTAGCTGTGTTTGAAACAAGAGACTTCTTGCTTTGTGTTGTTACCAGCTCACAGAGGAAGCAGCCCTGGATGAAGCAAGTGGATTCAACATTCCCCCAGATCAGACCACCCAACCAGGATCCTTACAACAGAACCTGTGTAAGCAAGCAAAGCAAAAGGTCAGTGAAATGGTCAGGATCTCTTGAACTGACATCTGGAATGTTCCAGGGTGTCAGGAGAGTACAGTTCTGCAGCAGAAGTTTGTTGCATCCTAGGCTTGATGCAGAAAAAAAAAATTAAATAACCAGTTTCTTTAGAGCTAACAAGCCAAGCAGTTTCTGCAAGGCTGACCAGCTCTGAGCTCAACTGTGAATCATCTTTGTAATTATAAAAGGAATTGTTCCCTGGAATACAATTCCTTTCAAGCTGGCTTTGAGTTGAATGTTACAGAGTTGTGTAAACCAAAAGAAGTTGGTAGACACCTCACAATATGGATATTAGAGAATTATACATAATATGATCAACAGGGCCATGTACCATACATGTACCATACAATCTGAACCAGAGTAAATGGGAGGTTTCCCAGTGCTTTCAGCATGTGCAGAATGGAACCTCTAGATAGTATTCCACTGTTCATGTTCTCATATAATGTCAGAGGAAGGAATTGTAGCAGGATACTCTATGCTTAGAGTGGATTCTGGCCTACTGTGGAAATATATACATAATCTCTGATATATATTACAAGAATTAAATGCACCTGTGACTCACAAGCACCTGTCAGGCCTGCTCCCAGTGGAAGAAATTATATAATTGTAAACATTATCAAAAACATCAATCTCAGGTATGACACCTTGCATTTCTGGGATTACTGATGCAAAAGATAGTGTTAGGAAAAGACTGTGTCAGGAAGCTGCCTTTGCCAGTGTCCAGGCACAATGCCTCAGTGTGTTTTCAGCTGAACAAGAGTTCTCCGTACGGGAGAAGGAGGCCATAGTTGGCTGTATGGATATATTTAGATTATGATTTCAGAAGATCTTTTTTGTCCCAGCCTCAGGTATGAATGCATAGTAGGGGCCTTTTGGCAAAGCACTTCCTTTGTCCCACACTTTTCTTCCCACAACAGGGAGAAAACAATGCCCCCACCACCACATTCCTTTCCCTTCCCACACAGCCCCTTTCAGCAAAGCTGTTTGATCTCTTGCTTTTGCAGCAGGAATTGTCACATGGTATTGTCATGGTGCCTGCCAGAATGTCTGAGCTTTATGCCCTTAGCACACACAATGTGGGTGTACATCACTGTAGACACTAAATGAGGCTGAATACCTGTTTACATTCCAAGCAACATAGATTTTAACCCAAATTCTAGAAAGTACCTTGGGTTTTTATTTTACAATTTAGATGCATATGGAGCCTGTCCCTGCACTCTGGGCAAGTTCATCTCACAGACTTAGGATCAACAGAGAGGAAACTGTGGGCTATGGGACATGTCACTGTGGCCATCATGTATTACAGTTAAGGTCCTTTATTGCCCCTGCTGGGGTTTAAACTCTCTGTCTCTTGTTTTCTATGTGAATTAGAGCCACACTCCAGCCACCACAGCTCTTGCAAGGGCAGATGATAGTGATGAGGATGAGTTACCCTGGTGCTGCATCTGCAACGAAGATGCCACTTTGCGCTGCCATGGCTGTGACGGGGACCTCTACTGTCAGCGCTGTTTTTGGTGAGTCATCCAATTCCTCTGGGTCTGAGAGGTGGTCAGAGGTAATCTTGGCCCCCTTTGGATGTTTTTGTCATTAGGCAGAAAAGCAGGCAGTAGGGGGCAAGATCTGAGGAATCCAGATCTGAGCTGAATGCTAGTTGTTAGAGAAATACTTTGTGAGATCAGTAGTTGTCCCAGGCTTCAGGGACTAAACTGTTCCTGGGCAGAAATGCTTGAGTGAATGTTTGGGCACATTGTCTGAATGTTCTCTGGAGCAGCTGATAATGCTGCATTATGTGGGATGGGATAAATAAGACCATTGTTCAATGACTCCTATGGCTTGTTAATGCCATTGATGGATGACCTAGGCTGGATTCCCTTAAAGGGGGAGATCAGACAGTGTGAATTCCTAAGGGTTTTCTTAGGTTGAGACTTTGCAATCCTAAGCCATATTAAAAAATTCTTTGTTGAAATATGTATGTGTGAGCCTTTTTACACCAGTCAGGCTGGTGAAAGACTTGCAGCAGCTGTTGTCTTTGTTCTTAAACACACGTGGCTAGATTTTTGACAAAATTTTCAGATTTGTAGGGTTAATTCATTTAAATACAAAGTTATTCCTGACAGGTTGTGTGACTTCTTTTTTTTAATACCTCAGAAGTATTGGATAGCTGGCTGGGTTCTCAGATTAGTGCTGGATGACATTAAGACAGCAGGTTGCTAAAAATGTGGTTGGGATAGTAAGGTATGCTTTTTGTGCATATTCTCTCATTTCCTGCAAATGTATTTGTAGGGAAATGCAAATGCAGTGGGGGAAATCCATATGAAAATGTTCAGAAAACATATGACTGGCAATGTTAGATTGTTAAAAACAAAGCATATGAACAAAATTATCTGACAGCAAACATCAGTAAAAGCAGATTTAACAGTCTGGCAGGTGAGTTTATCATCCACACAGTGTGGATGCAGGACTGCAGTGTATTGGCAGCTGTCTTAAGCATGCCTGTTCCTGAGCATGCTTAAGACAGCTGCCAATACACTGCATTATTTTCAGTTATTTTCCAGAGTTTTCTGGAGGAGACTCATTTTGTCTGTTGTCACAGTTGCTAATGTCCCTGGAATCACAGACACAGTGCTGAAAATAAGCCATGAGTTACATGAATCTCTTCAAGAGGGAAAGAAACAGAAGGACCTGTTGTCATTTTCAAATCCAGCTGACAAGGATGAGTAGACCTTCCTATAAAGCATCGCAGAAATTTCTGTTGCAAGCAAATATCTTAAGTAGTTAGTCCACATGGCTGCCAGTCAGGTCCTCACAGCCTGGGGCTCCTGGGAGATATCTTGTGCAGTGGATAAGGGTGGGTTCCTGGCCTGGGTATTTGCTTCTGACTGCAATTTGTATTTGCTTCTTAGGGAAGGCCATGAGGAGTTTGACCTGAAGGACCACCAGACCTCCCGCTATCATCTTCCTTGCAAACAGAAGTGACCACACTTATGGGCAGAAGAGGAGCTGGAGAATGGGAAAACAGAGGAGCTAGCCAGATGGGAAGAATCTAAGTGGATTTGCAGCCAAAACGGGTGATGTTTTGGACAGTTACAGGATGTGCTGTAATTTGAGAGAGGCCTGCAGGGCGTGTGACTTGGTCTTCACAAATACACCTGAGAAGTGCAGAGTTTGCTGTGCATGCTTGGGGATAAATGAGGACTTGATAAGAGGAGGTGGATACAAGTCCATAAATGCAGATGGTAAAACAATGTGGGTAGCAGGAAAGATGTGTGTTTAAAGCAGTACTGACTGGCTGATAAATAACTTCCTGCTTTTACTAACAGCTTATACACTGGTTCAACAGGCAGCAAAGCACTTTGCACTGAGAAAAATGTCTGCATTGTGATCACATGTGTGATGGGAACTTGCAAAGCATAATAAAAAATATTTACAGAAGCCTGTGGTTAAAGTCTCTCCTGAAAATGCCTGATAGCCCTTAACAAAGTGTTGGTTTCTTATAATGGTACATTAGTCCTAGTGTCAAGCAGCTTAGAGAAAGAAATTAAGAATAGTGAAGTCATCAAAAATGTTTCTGTGGTGTGTCTGGACAAGATGCAGGGCAGTGTTGCTGACTGACATGAAAGGAAGGATCCTTTGAAAAGGTAATCTGCTACTGATACGGTGTTGTGGCCTGCAGTGGCTGTGCCACTGTGCATGTGCTGTAAGAGCAACATGTTAGTCTGAAATAGTTGTGTATAAGTCTGAAGGCAGGATTTGACTTTGTTTATTATTTGGTCACCTGGTAAGACAAAAATGTTACCTGTGTGATGCTCTTCATCTGGTTAGGAGAGAAGCTCAGTTGCATATGTCCATATCTCTCCTGGGAGACAATCCAGATGCAAGTGGAATTTGCCAGTGCCCAGAACACCCAGAATTGCTTCAAATACCCAAGTAAATTGGCTGTAAACATGCTCTATTATTCGGTCAGGATGAGCTCTTTCCAAATAATGTGACTTCTGAGAGAGCTCTCTAAGGCTGACAAATTCCAATGCAAGAAAATAAAGGATTTGCCCTTGACAGGGAATTTCCAATGAATCTTGCCTGTCTGGTTTGACATTGCCACTCCCAGCAGTCTGCCTTGCCCCCGTGCTTAAGGTCAGTGCCTCCGAGGTGAAGTGATGAAACAGTGTTTACCTGCACCTCTGGTCAGAGGACAGCAAATGAATTAAACCACTGTTGAAGGTGGGTTTCTGCTAATGTATTGCTCTGGATCAGACTCTTCAACAAAAACCTGATTCAAACAATGTAGAATAGTAATACTTTAGGTCAACACACTAAAAATGGCAAGCGTATCCAGCAGTGCCATCAAAACCTTTTCTTAGGAAGGGGTGGCAAAATCCGACTTCTGTGGAGGACCTTCTTTCTCCTGGCAGCCCTTGCTTCACCAGTGCCTGTCTCCTTGGGACAGGTAGATGGGAAAATTACTTGAGTTGTTCTGATGCAAGAGCTCGCAATTAACCCTGTGACACACAAAATTTAAGTAAGTTATTTAAGTAAGCCCTGAAGAGCTTGCAGTCTTAAAAATCAAAACAAAATGCTGTTCTTTATTTATGTTATCATGATACTTTTTCATTGCTATTTGACATGGATAATTAGTCTGATAGTAAGACAGCCCAGTTCTATCTGAGGTTAAAGCCTTCATGTTTTGTGTATACAGGGGAAGGTACAACTATCTGTTTTTATTTCTCTCCTAAATTGATCCACTGCTTTGGGCTTCAGCCAGTGTCTTCCGCAAGCAGTTAGTAGTAATTTTGTTTCTTGATTTACAGCTGCTGGTTTTTTCAATATCTTAGTATGAGCTGGTATGATACTTGCAACATTTTGAATGCTTCATCAGCCGCAACAAAACTTTGAGCTCCCTTGCAGTTAGGCAGCCTCTGTCTTGTAAGCCCTGCCCTCTTCACATCAGTAGTAATGGAGCAGGTTGCAGCCGGAAGCAGTTTATTTAGATTCCCAAATTGGTTTCTGTGGGGCCATCCCAAGGAATCTAGAAATGCACCCAACCCATTACCTGAAATAGAACTTAGTCATACATGGAATACTCTCTTCAAGTCATACAGACACAAGCTACTATTTTCCCTGCACCACTAGTGGACATTTTTGTGGCTGCTGCACTTTCTGCATGTAATGGGGCATTTTAGTAGTAGCCCAATCACTTTCCCCTGAAAAGCCATTCCCACTGTAGCTGTTGCCTCAGTGAACTCCATGTAGGAGGGGCAGAGGGGTATCCAGATGGGCTGTCTGCAGGAAGCACACCTAGCTGAATCTGTGTTGTGAAAGAGGAATGCTGCATGACCTTTAAGTGGGCAGTGCACTGTTAGCTGTGTTACTTACTCCCTATCCTTGTCTTTGAAAAGGTGCTGGTAAACAAAGACACTGGTAATCAGTCAATTCCTGACAGGCCAGATCAACTTCAGTCATAGCTGTTCAAGCACAGAAGACAGCTTGGCATCTTCCAGAAAGAGATTCAACTTGTTTGCTCTTGTCTTTGTAGCAAGTCATGAGGGATTTTCTTTCCCTCTCATAATGTTTTGTATGTGAATTATCAAATGTGGGCTCCACTCCAACAAGAATTCAAGTTAGAAAAGCTCATGAACTTTCATACATTGGATTATCTTGGTATAATCAAGAGGGCAAAGTTTCTTTCAAGCAACGTTCTTAGATAGAATCTACATACTTATGCTAGTGGTGAGAAACAACAAAGTTTACTGGAAGATGTTTGTAATGAAAAATTTTCAAGCATTGATTTTAATCTATCCTTGTGGTCTAGTGTGAGAACAGCTAAAACATCAACCAAACGTGATTTACTACTGTTTAAGAATGAAACAAAAAAGAAGTTACTCTGATTGCATGACATTGCTTTTTCTTTTGCACCAGTGAGCTGATAAACCATCTAGCACTGGCCACATGTTGCCTTGGTCCCCTGATCTCAGTGTGCTCAGCTGAAGTGCTCTCAGGTATCACTATGTATCAGAATTCCTTATGTATCAGAAGCAACTGCACATGACAGGGCCTATAGGTTACTCTTTTCCTGCTACTTGCAGAATAAGCATAAAGACAACTTTGGTCAAGCAGAGTTTTCAGAACCTGCTTTGGTTTTGATTTTAACAATGTCTACCTTGAAGCACAGACAAAAATTCCTTTTGCCTCACTCCATATTGAGGAAATACAGAACAGTTCCTGGGGGAAGAAACTGTTTCTCTTGGGCCAGAGGAGAGGCGTGTCGTGTCTTTGTGCTGTTACAACTCAGCAGAATAAAACAAAGCCTCTTAGTGGGGAATGTAAGTAATCTGATCTCCTATACTGCTGTGCAGTAGCTAATCGCATCTCTAGTTTAGGACACTCTCCTCACGTCCTGTCCATCTAGCTCTTCCACCTGAACTTCTGTTTGATGCTAGTCTTTTTTTTACCAGTGCTCCGAGCTTTTTGTCGATATGCTGCTCTCATTTCTCCAGGGGTGTGTTACTCGAGTATTAGCAGGTGTCATCCATAAGCCAGATCTGCAACCATTGCAGGTCTGGATTTTTGTTGTTATTTTACTGATTAAGTTGAGATTTCATGAGGGTAGGCATGTCCCACTAGCCCCTTATTAAGCCCAAATTGGCATGTTCCCAGAGCTATCAAAGACATATATTGGACCTGATAAAGAAAGACCATTTTCCAGCCTAGTGGGTGAGGCTTAGAACATCTTGGAGCAGCCTTAGAACAAAACATGAGGTCCTTGGCTTGCCAACTTCTAATCAGATACAAGAAAAGCATGTGAAAGGAAGCAGGCCCTTATATCACAGTTGGTACTGCAGCTTGGATTTTGTCTTCTTAGAGGACACAACCTACAATTTGTTCAATGACAGCTGGAAAATAGGAGGGAAGAACAAGATAATAGTCATCACACTGCTACTGATAAAGATGGAAAGACTACTGGGTTTAAGATATTACTGGTCCAGCCCAAGAGTCCTTGTTTGTCTTTGTTAGCTAACCTGCATGCCCCTCTGGTTCCATAGTTGGTCCCTTCTGCCTGGCTCACCAAACAGACAAAAGATTACTCAAAAGCTGGCCTTGAATGTTGTGCTCTTTAGGAGCTCCTCTGGATGTGACTCATCTCTTATGTTTGCGTGGCCAGGTATCAGCGTAGGGACAGGGCATAATGTGAGAGCACTCTGCCTAAGCAATCAGCTTCCATTTGCTGTCTTATTTCCTAGTCCATGTGTCAAGTTACTGACTTGCTGAGAGGCTGGATGTAGTTTCCTCTGTATTTTTCCAGGCAAATACTAGTTGTAGCCGGAAGAGTTTGTGCAGCAAAGTACTGTGTCCTACTTCCCTGCTCATTTGTGAGACCTACCTGTCTGCAAAAGACTCCCTCTGAGATGCTCCCTGAAGGGAAGTTGGGAGCAGGTATTTTTTACTTCAGTTTTTCTTTAGAATCTAAAGAGAGAGCAAAATCAAGCAGCGCATGGCTGGTTTTCTGTTTTAATATAAAATAAGTATTTTTCCAACATCTTTTTGAACTAGGAGAAAAATCATTCCCAGACCTTGTTCCTTTAGAAAAGGCTTCTAAGTTATAAGTCTTAAATTCCGCAAAATGGAAAAAAAATAGCCATTAGCTGTAGCAGTTGCTTCACAAACTTCCCCTTAAGTAGACCAGGTGCACTCAAACTATCATATATATTTTCTGTCCAATCTTCATAAATAACAGAGGCTTAGTAAGACTTACAAAGTATGTGCAATGCTGTAGAGTCAGGCACAGCAGTAACAGGCAGGAGATCACAGTTGGGTTTAAGCCAGACTAAAATGAGGTGCAGCTTAACAGTGGCTGATTTTCCATGTTGATGAATGAGCGATAACCAATGCCTTGTTTGCCTTGCAGTGGACAAAAAAAAGAAGTCTTGATGAGCTCCTGAGAATTGTATTCAGTGCTCCTTGGCCAGCATGGAAATTCCTAGAAGAATCTAAAGGAGGGACATCTTGTCCTGTTCCTCAGGTTAACACACTCTTAAGAATCAGGAAAATATACAGTCTAGCTCCCTGCTGTGTGTGTAGATCTGGAAGGAGTGGAGACTTCAAACCACTGGTACAAAGTTCACAAACTTGCTGAAGTTTCTCAATAATAATAATAAGTCCTAAACATACTCAGAAGTTCTGTTGCTGATCCTGGTTTTTGTCAGGAAGATACATGTTTCCTTGTAACCAAAGCTGGAGTTTCCATGTGAGCAAGGTCATTTCTTCTGAGGATTGGTGACTCTTCGGAGACCTCTCAATCGACTGAGCAATTCCGTGATGAAGTCCTACAATAAGAGGTGGTTGAAGAAGGATGTTGTATTAATTCCAGCACTCACCAGCCCAAAGCGACTGTGGCGTTTCCATCATTCCCACATTCACCCTTACATTGAGCAGAAACCACAATTTTGACATGTATTGAGCAAACATATCTTTTAGCTTAGGAAAGGACGAGAAGGGTCTAAAAGCTCCTCCCCTTTCCCTGTCTCCCTTTGGAACAGCCATGTTTACTTTCTCCTCAGGAGCTAGCCTGACCCTCTTTATCCCAGATACCTGCTTTTCCCACCGTGAGATGACCTCAGG